AGCGAGGGAGAGCCGCAGGTGAGGGATCCCTCTCCCAGGACAGACAGAAGTACAAGAGATGCAACGGCCACAAAATAACAATGTTTACAACATTCATGAGAAAAGACCGTGTTTAACATAAATGGAGAGGTGTGATAATGAAGTATTTCTATAGAAGAAAGTATCTGACAGAGGTGAGGGGAGCAGTAATTATTACATTTTTCTATAATGGTATGTCAGAAGGCATGTTGTATTTCTCAGCAAGATCAGCTGCCACCATGATCCATGATCTCGATCAAAGCAGTAATAAGATGTATAAAAGTAGCGAAACATAAGTACAATGAGTGTGCAAGAATACTGAATTGTGAGTACTACAAATACAAGATTTATAGAGTTTTCAAGGTAAACATGTATAAATGTGCTATACTGCAAATAAGTAGGAATTATTCTACTTATAAACACCTGGAAGTCCCCTTGTGTCCAAGTTTTCAAACAAATAACTGATTTTCATTCATCATTAATAATAATAATAATAATCAGAATTATTTCAGTATTATATATATTTTAGTACAACTGCCTCTCAATTACACAGGCAGAACACAGAAATAACACCAGGGGTCTTATATAACAGTGCTTTTTAAATTTAAGATACAATCTGCCTTTGATATTTTCTCCTTTTTCCTCAGGTAAATAAAGTCAAACCAAATCAAGCGTATCATCAAACCCAGATGAGCGACGCTACTAAGGACGTGATGAGATAATTAACACGTAAGGAGAGAGCGAGCAGAGAGAACTGTTAGAGGGGTGCCGAAATAACGACACCGGCATTCGATGAGAAGTTGGGGCCAGACAGATTCTGACCGATACCGGGGAAGAGATGATTGACACCACAGGTTTGGCTCTATCACAAACCGGGGCATCATGAAAGCAAAGGACTTCTGAAGCAGCCATTTGACGTTCCACTTGACAGACCATCCAAAGAAAGAGAGAAAAAAGAACAGACTCAGAACTCCTCCCCGCGAGGCCTTGTGCTGCAAGATAAGGCTTTAATTTGGAGAGCGAGTCATGTCTTTGTAGTGGGGGGTGAAACTTGCAGCCCTCTTCTCTCCAAAGCCGGAGCATGCGTAATTAGCCGTGTGTGTTTGTCTACCTCGCTGGAGATAAGTGAGCGCAGGGGTGTTGAGTTTAAGGGGATTACCTGCTGTGTGTTTATGTTTGTGTTAACAAGGCGGCAGATTCCCACATCATACTTTAAACCCCTGCGTTGCAGCCGTGACCCCTCGGGTCGGAGGAAACGATGCCGACGTCAGCTGATTAGAATCCGAGACTAATGGCGTCTTTCTGATAAAGAGTTAAATCTCTTCTATTATTTCCTTTGCGAGGGAAGTGGCAACCATGTGTGGGAGTGCGTGGTGAGAAAGTGAAGTTTCAGTGTTAAATCTGCAAATACACACATAACATAGTACTACTACTACTACATAACTACTACACTTACAGTCTGCATGCACACAAGTCTGCTCCATTTTTTATTATTCAGATTGTGTTTAACCTCAGCAAGACACAGGTGAGAAGATCAGCTATTAAATCCACTCTTATTAGCCC